ACAACAAGCTCGTGGCTCACTAGTTGAAGCGTTAGACTCTGATCAAATGCTCGCGAGGTTGGGCCTCGAGTGGTGCACCAGTTGGGGCAGGATATGACTAGCTAACGATGGCCAATAAACCAGCAATGGCCACTCCCGTATCCCTTGTATTTGCCGGCAGTACTATTTGCCGCTACGACTGCTGTCAGGGCCCGAGAAACTAGACTCAAGGCAGAGCGCGACAAGTCAGTTCCATTAGCGGTCGGTGAACGTTAATCAACGATTGTCAATATCCTTGTCGCCGAAGTCAGCTGTCAGTCTGGCCAACAGGACACGGGACTCATCGATTCTGTTCCCACCACCTATTGGGACACGCCCAATTTTATGTCCACAGTCTTTACTTCTTGCTCACATGCGCATTTGCCTCTGTCGCAGACTCTCACAGACAGCTTGGCCCACCCATCTACCAATCGTAGGACTCCATACTCCATACTTAATGTACGCATCTACATGTACGTATTAATACAAATGCCAGTACCTGTTTCCACAGGAACATAAAAAGGGAAAAATAAGCATACAACATCCAAATTCCCTCCCCATATCACGTGCTTTTATAGACGGGAGCGCTTGTAGTGTCACCATATACGGTAGTCTGGGAGAGTAAATTCACTTTGGTGCAGATAGCAAAATTGCATACTGATGTCTCTATTCTTCTAGTAAAAGGGGCGTGGCCAAATTATGCCACATGCTGCATCATTTCTCCGCGGGAGACCTGTAATCACAGCCGTAATAGGTGCCGCCTAAAATGAATAGTTCATAGACAATACGGTGCGCTGTACACGGGTTCATTCATTAAGTGTCCTTAAGTTAAGTCTCAGCGGTCAAGTAGAAAAACAAATAGAGTGCCGTATATAATTCATCTCAGTGACACTAAAGTTCTGCGTTTTTAAGATTCATCTGAGACACACTGTGTGGAACGACCTTGTGCAAACAGTTCCGATAATAATTGAGCCATTGTTGAAAATAAGTTGATGATACCTGGTTAAGTTTCTTTAGTTCCACAAGCTCCAAAAGTGCCAGCTCTAGGATATTCCGTGCAGTTCTTTTAGCAGCCGGGATTTTCTGACTCAAGCCACAAATTTCACCACAGTTTGAAATATAGTATTCTAGATCCTCTTCTGTACCTATAAAAAACCAGCATAAATGCAGCAGTCTTAATTTTGCGGTTAAAAGTATCAAGACAGTTATTGGATTGATCCTTAATTGAATACCCACATTTATTGGTTTCTTGTGCAAGCCGAGCCTTTTCCGTGGAGAACTGTTCGTCGAGGTCGAATAATTCCAGTGGCGGTGGACCGAGTTCTCGAAAATTTGGCGGAAATACCTAAAATATATTAGTCATACTGCCAAATTGTAGCCTTACAGCAGGTTGTAGTGGAGGCAGTGGTGTTTCAAATTCCGGTGTGATCAGACTAAGAGGTTCATGCTTCACCCGCAATTTCTCATAAGCACTAAAATTGTAGAATAATGAAGTTATTTAATACCCGAAGACATTTTAGCTTCGGAACTCAAATACAGTAGCTCGACTATCTGACGAAATTTTAACCGAAATCTTAAAGTATTATATTCTCTGATGATGGTCTCCTGTATGGGACCGAAAGCTCAGGCGAGCACATTTACTGTCCCAGGGATCGCGCGTTCATGTTCTTTGTAACCCTTTGATGCGTCTTTGATTAGTAAAGATTATTCAAGTGGGTATAAAAGATTGGATATCTTGCACCATAATCTCAAGATATTTTAGACAAGTTCGGATGCTTCTTTCGAATAAGCCTCTTCCCGACCAGGGGCGACATTTGCACTCGATAAAAAATGTCCAGTGAAGTAATATGCATTCTTTTTCTCTTACCTTTCAATGATGGCCTTATAAGTCTAAATTTATTTAATGAAAAACGTGCACAAAAATATTCTTGCTGGTACAAAGTTGTTAGCAAGTAGAGTTCTCTTTACTTTTTTTAAATTATAAAAAGAATATCTTTCGGATTGAAAATACTTGTTAATCATAAAAATGTTCATTCTTACAGCATCATATCAGTCAGTTTGTTAGTGCCGCTTATAAACTATGCAACAGTTCAATCGCCTGCTCCACAGCATGGGAGCGCAGAGGCGGTGGCTTACGTGTGAATGAGTTTTAATTGATAGCAGACTTGCGCGGTGTCTACCGCACTCGCCCTTCGCTCACCAAGCTGTGCTCGGTGTTAAAACAGAGCCAAAAAACCGGAGGCGAGATGGGAGGGGGAGGCAGGCGGCAGGCGCGGCGTGCAGGGCATACTTATAAACCAGGCAACACACATTGTCCAATGTCACGAGCGCTATATGACATTTTCCTTGTGGCGTTAAGACATTCATGATCTTCATTACAAGACAAGTATGCTACATGCAGTTTAAAAATCCTATGCACAAATTCAACTGAAGATCCAGTGAAAAATTACTCGTGAATTGGAACGGTTTTTTTAAAACCTAACGATTTCTTTTATTCAAGTGTATAGTTCGAACTCGTAAGCTGCTAAGAAAGGAAGGGTATTTTGTAAATGTCTTCTATAAAATTTACCTTAATTTATGAGGTAATCGAGAATCAACAGTAAAAAATGCACATAACCTAAACAGTCATTTTCACTGGACGCAGTTTCCGTACGCAGCCCGACATAAGCTAATTTACCATTCGATTTTCTGGCGCAACTGAAGTATATCGGAGGAATATTTCAGAATTTCGGTTAGAATTTCACGAGCTACATCTACTTCTACCGCAACCTTAGTTGACTTGTTAATGTGAGCAATAAAAGGTTACTCCTGACAGTTTACGTATTTAAGGAAATTGTTTGACTAACCTCAGGGCTTTGGGCACCAGAGAGGTGTTCATGGAGAAGAGCGATTGGTCAAAAACGCTGGAGATGTTCCTTGGGATTTCATCACTTTCTTGTAAACAGGCCTTGAGGTTGTTAGCTAAACTAGCTATATCAGGGATTTGCAGGTAAGTATCGATCTCAGGGTCTTGTGCATCAATGGCATTAAGCTTGATGTTGTCCGTTGTGAGGAAGGAAAGGAGAATTTCGAATATTTTTCTGTTGTCCTCTTTATTGATATAAGTATCCGTGAACATGGATACACTCCCTGCAACAGCCAATTTTCCAACTTGACCTTCGTTAACCTGCATTAAGAACGCAAATAAAAGCGGTAACATGAGCGTTTTTAGTCAGGCACCTAAATTCCATTAATGAGCTGAAAAATTGTGCAACAGACTCTAATTGAAAGAGCATTTTATTTCGTACAGGAAGAACGGTAATCAG